ATAATAATAATAATAATAATAATAATAATGGGCCATTAAGTTGGTTCTTTCTTTTTGTGATCTATCCTAAAATTTTCTAGGTATGAAATACTCCAGTATGGTTTACCAGTCCTTGATTTTGTGGGTGCTCTAGGGCCCAGCCCTTGGTGCTCCAATTACTGAGCCATTCAACTAGCTATCAATATTGATTTAAGAGACTTACCTCCTAGAAAAGGATTAGAGAAGATGATTCCAAGAAGGCACAGGACAAGACTGGTAAGGAATGCCATTTTCTGGTTGACCTTTTAAGAGGAAAATGGACAGTTAATTCAAGAGGCACAGCTATTAATTGCCATTCATCTGATCTGGTCAAGCAAGAAAGAAAATGTGATTTCCCCCCCTCCCTGGCTCTTACAATTGGAGTTATATATTTCTGTTTTCTTATTTGAATTTCAGATAACTGGGAAGATAAGAGAAAGAGAAGAATCCATATTTAAAGTAGTTGGACAACCGACCGACCGACCGACTGACTGACTGACTAAGTAACTAACTAAGTAACTAACTACTTATTTCCCATCTTGGGTAGAGAATTCCAAGAACTGAAGTTAAAAAAAACAAAGAGAGAAGAAAAGTACCAGCTTGGTTTAAAATGTACATTGGTTAAATTAAGGCCCTATTGCTTCCTTAAACCATTCCTCGGCACTCCAGTTCTTCCTGCTGAAGCAAACTGTGGATATGTGAACTCTAAGGCATCAGAATGTTCCATAGCAGATATTCCTTTTGACAAGAACAAGCTGGACAGTCCTCTCATCCAAAACTATGGCTGACTCCTCAAGCACTCACCTTCTGATGCTTTTCTCCAGAGTGGACAGCAGTGGTGGACAGTTGAGCTGGAAGTACTCTTTCCCTTTCTTAGGCAGCTCCTTTATAGCCCTCCTGGGCCAGACATGGCGCAAGACCAAGGTGAGCTGAAGAGTTCAAGGATATCCTGATTGGACCACTTTCTGTTTTGCAAAATCCCTTGGGCCAAACTCTTAGGAAGCCACTCTTATTGCTGGACACCTTCATTTGAGAAAGGGCAGTGTTCTGACCTTCATTTGAGTGGAGAAAGAGGTACTGAGAAAACCAGTCTTTTGACTCAACATCCCTCTCAGGGAGGGGTGGGGAAAAGCCTTCATTCTTAGGCAGGGAAATGCCTGTTCATTTCCTCATTCTCTTGACTCCTGAAAGTAGTCTGACATTTACTTGCTTGGTGTGGATTATTTATTTATTTATTTATTTATTTATTTATTTATTTATTTATTTATTTATTTATTTATTTATTTATTTATTTATTTATGCATTTATGCATTTATGCATTTATGCATTTATGCATTTATGCATTTATGTATGCATTTATTTATTTATTTATTTATTTATTTATTTAATTAATTAATTAATATGCCACCCACTCTACCCAAAGGTCTCTGGGCGGCTTACAACAATTAAAATTCAATACAATAAAATATAAAATGATTAAAATACAATTATCCCGCCCATCTGGTATATTCTACCACTCTGGGTGGCTTACAACGTATCATAAAGAATTAAAAAAATATAAAACTTATCTTTCCCCTTCCTTCTCCCTCTGTTGTCTCCTTCTGTTAGATTTCATGCTATGAACTCCTTGAATCATAGACATGTCTCTCTTCTGACTCATGGTGCAAAATTTTAATCCAAGAGTTGTTTTCTCATTCTTTTAATGCCTTTATTAATTGATCATTTAATTTAGAGAAGTGTCACACCACAGTGGTTTCACTTTCCTTCATATATAGAAAACCATTAAGCTTCTGATTGCATTCACCGCAGATGTTGGTATGCACATTTTTCTTTTTCTAGTGTTCATCTAATTCCTGAACTTGTATACCCATATGCAATTCAATGCTGTTAAAAACAAACAAATACCTGGAGAACATCTTTAAACTGGATAGCCAACTTGTAATGGGTGTATCGCTCAAAAGGTTCAAATTAATGTACGAATCAAACAGTTTGTCTCCTGCCCTTAAAAGGGTAGACCTTCTTAAGTTTCTACTCTTTCATTCCCCAGATTTTCCAGTGGCTGTGGATGCCTGAAAACACCTATTGTATTTTTGGTGTGAACAGAAGCTACAGATGCGAACATGCTCACGTAGCTACCCGATGCTGATGAAATGCACTTAGACCATCTCAAGTTCTGTGTGGTGGCTTGTGAAACCATTCCAGAGATGTCAAAGGAGTCCCCTGAGGCTTATACATTTCTGTATGTCCCCAAAGGGAAGGTGAAAAGAAGCAGAAGGAAGGATATTTCAGTTTAAGGACAGCTCTTGCCTACATTAGCCTTTTAACAGCTCAGACTTAAGGCTATTTGCCTCGTTTCGTAAATGTGACCTCTTTCACTTCAGGCATCGAAAGCATGGAGAGGAGATGATGATACCTGCTCCACCTCTGTCTTGTGCCTCCTTGTGTCATCATGAAAAACCAGAAAAGAGAAGCTATAGCTTTTAACTGAACTCATTTGAATGTAGTGATAATGGCCACCCAGGAATTAAAAAGCTTATAGACTTTTCAAGGTACCAACTCATGCGGAGAGTCCTCATGGGTTCGGGAGGTTGTTCTTCAGAGTTGTCACCATCAGGTGTGAGAAGGTGGCAAACAATTGATGGAGGGAATCAGAGTAGACCTTTGGTCAAGATGGGCGGGGTAAAAGTCCAACCAACCAACCAACCAACCAACCAACCAACCAACCAACCAACCAACCAACCAACCAACCAACCAACCAACCAACCAACCAACCAACCAACCAACCACCAACCAACCAACCAACCAACCAACCAACCAACCAACCAACCAACCAACCAACCAACCAATCAATCAATAAGGGAAGGGGGAGGCTGAAATGTTGGGAGAGGCTAGGCAAGGCATACTTAATGCTAGATACACCATAAGTTGTGCACAGGCTCAGAATTCAGGCAATGGGGAAGGAAATGCCGTGATAATTAAATTTCTATAACATTAGTAACAGGTTGACACATAAAGTTGTCCCTTCACATCCTAACCTTTCCTCAGAGATAGTTAGGAAGATAAAATGTACCCTACACATCACAACGTAACAGCAGGTCACACGTTTGACTCCAGATAAATTTCGTTTGGTATGATTTAGTTTTCTTGATAGATAGAAATCTTGTTAAAGCATTCTTTTTTTAGAAAAGTTATGCAATTTTGGCTTCTGTTTCCCTCCTTCATGGAAAACCCTTGCTCTCCTGACTGCTTCTCACTGCTTCTGACTCAGTGAAAGTGGGGGTGTCTATTTCTCTTTGTTTGAGAATTGATTCAGTTCCTTAATGTACACATCGAAATTCTCTCACTCTTCATTCCGGTTGTTGCAAACTCTTTTAATCAACCTGTCTTAAAGTCACTTTGTGGGAAATTAATGTCAATAAAGTGTTATTTCTATATATTGCTATTACTATTATTACTACAACTGAAACCACAATAACAGTTATACACTCCCCTTTTCCCTTACAGTTAGTGGACCTGTTGTGGCATTATGTGGTGTCCATTGTTGTTGTTGTCTGTATCCTTCATCTCAAATTTGAAATACAGTGGTGCCTCGCAAGATTATCTCCAATTTGAAATAATATTTCCAATGAATAGGAGTTTTTGCTGGAAGTATTTAGTTCACCAGTATCCAAACCCTTCTTAGTATATAATGATAGCAAACCTAGTTTTGAGGTCTTGTTTTCTGTGATAGGTTGTTTTCATTTTTCTCCCAAATTTTTGGAACACACAAGAGCTTACCTGTGGTCTTAAAAAATTCCAGAACTTCATTTTCTGAGGTAAGGGAGGTCACCAAGGAGAGTTGATTTTTTAAAATTCCTGAGTCAAAAGTCAAGATGGCAAAGCCCTGTATTTCATCTACTAAAATCGACTGGGTGGGCCACTGAATCTTACTACAGTGTCAGCACTGACAATGGTAATATCCTTCACCACACATGATGATAGAAGGCCAATCCTGGAGGTGCTATATGGGCTACATGGTGTACATCTCAAAGAAAGGGGAAGGCCGGGATGGCTCAGGAATAATACCATGTCTGAGGGAGGGAGATGCCTCATTGCTGCCATGAGCATCTGCCAGCTGAGGTGGTTGCTACATGATACCCTAAAGCAATACAAAAAGCATCTCATTGCTGCCATGAGGGTGGTTGCCACATGATACCCTAAAGCAATACAAAAAGCATGCTGCTTGTACATCTGCCCATAGCTCATAAAGCGCTCTTTGGCTGGTTTACAAGTTAATTATGCAAGCTACATATTGCCCTCAACCCTGAGAGTCCACTGGAAGGACAGATCCTGAAGCTGAGTAATGATAGCAAACTTATCAGGTGTTTTGAAGTCTTCTTCAGTTTTCTGTGATAGGTTGTTTCCATTTTTCTTCCAAATTTTTGGAACACATGGGAGCTTACCTGTGGTCTTTGAAAATTCCAGAACTTCATTTTCTGAGGTAAGGGAGGTCACCAAGGAGAGTTGATTTTTTAAAATTCCTGAGTCAAAAGTCAAGATGGCAAAGCCCTGTATTTCATCTACTAAAATCGACTGGGTGGGCCACTGAATCTTACTACAGTGTCAGCACTGACAATGGTAATATCCTTCACCACACATGATGATAGAAGGCCAATCCTGGAGGTGCTATATGGGCTACATGGTGTACATCTCAAAGAAAGGGGAAGGCCGGGATGGCTCAGGAATAATACCATGTCTGAGGGAGGGAGATGTCTCATTGCTGCCATGAGGGTGGTTGCCACATGATACCCTAAAGCAATACAAAAAGCATGCTGCTTATACATCTCCCCATAGCTCATAAAGCACTCTCTGGCTGGTTTACAAATTAATTATGCAAGCTACATATTGCCCTCAACCCTGAGAGTCCACTGGAAGGACAGATCCTGAAGCTGAGGCTCCAATACTTTGGCCATCTCATGAGAAGAGAAGACTCCCTGGAAAAGCCCCTGATGTTGGGAAAGTGTGAAGGCAGCAGGAGAAGGGGACGACAGAGGACGAGATGGTTGGACAGTGTCACCGAAGTGACCAACATGAATTTGACCCAACTCCGGGAGGCAGTGGAAGACAGGAGGGCCTGGCGTGCTCTGGTCCATGGGGTCATGAAGAGTCGGACACGATTTAACAACTAAACAAGAACAACACATTGCCCTCCCCCCAACAAGCTGGGTACTCATTTAACCAACCTTAGGAGGATGGAAGGCTGAGTGAATCTTGAGCCAGCTACCTGGGATTGAATCCCAGGTTGTAAGCAGAGCTTGGCTGCAGTACAGCTGTTTAACCAACTGTACCATGAAGCTTCTTTGGGTCTGGTGTTGAAGAGTGATGCAGGTTCCAAGGCCGAAGAGTAACACAGGTTCCAAAGACCAATCCAAGTGTTATGATGGTCTGTGCACCACACTGGAAAGGATCTAAAAGTTCATCAAGTCCAACCCAGTGCTAAAATATTGTTAAGCACTCCATGAGAAATGATCGCCCAACCTTTGTTTAAAAATTTCCAGTAAAAGTCCATCACCCTCTAAGGTTGTCCACTCCATTTCCCAGCAGCCCTTTCTCAGAATGTTCTTCCTTAAGTTTAGTTAAAATCTCCTTAGTGGTCATTTGAATCTTTTATTTTCGGCTGTACCCTCTGGAGCTACAGAAAACAAGCTTGTTCCATCTTCCATGTCACAGCCCTTCAGTATCTGAAGATGTCTATCATATTATCTCTCAGTCTTTTCTCCTCCAGGTTTTTTTCCTGGATGGATCATGTTTGGTTCGTTTTATCTGCCTTCTCCTCTTTAACATTCAACAGTGGCAGACCTTAAGGCCACATATGACCGTCGTAGAAAAAATAGGGATATTCTTCGTGGATTTTTAAACTATTCTTTGCAATGTTTGTTTAATAACAAATAAGTCCATCTTAGGATGGCTTGTCTCTGCGTGGAGAGTGGGTTCTCCTTTGGTATGTGGTAGCTTCCGCCTTCACGCGGATCGTTTACATTAACCCACTGAGTAATTTATGAAAGAAATCCCCACCATTTGGTGTGTGATAAAATCTCACCGGCTCGGCCACCTGTTGCGCAAGGAACCTGAAATAACAGAAGGTTATTTCCTCAAACCTGCTACCCATGTTCTTTCATCATGTCCACCTGAGGCCTATATAACAACCTCCAGTGGAACAGGAGACCATCTGAGAAGGTCTAAATTTAGCAGGGAGCTCCAACACATCTTCCAAGAAAGAGAAACGAGTGGGTGAGTTGCTAAATGTCTTGAATTTTTCTGTATCTATGTATATGTTTTCTTCTGTATGTCCAGGTGACCAATCTCAAGATGGTGCTGCAAACACTCAAGAGGGAGGCTGCTGCAGGCTAGTAAAATTTTCAAAGTTTTGAAAACTGAGAACATCCTGTATGGGAAAAGGAGCGACCCCCCCCACAAACCTTTGTAATGACGACTGAGCATGCTCAGTGGCTGTGAATATATAACTGAGAGGGCAAATGAGCAAATGGGAGGGAAAAGAATTGGAAGGAGGTATCCAAAACAGCAACAACACTAACCCCTCCATGTTGCCACATTTTGTGGCAGGTCCTGCCTGTGGTCATATTTACCACCATCACTGCCGTTATTGTCCTCCTTATGAACACCCTCACCATGGCCACTTAGGAGCCCATATGGCCCATCGCAGTAGTGTCCAACCTTGGTCCACCAGATGTTCTTGGACTTCAACTCCTAGAAATCCTGGCAAGCAGAGATGGTGGTGAAGGCTTCTGGGAGCTGTAGTCTAAGAACATCTGGAGGGCCAAGGTTGGGGACCACTGGCCTATCGGATCAAGGAAGCTAGGAGCATCAGAAATCTTTCAGTGAGTCTGTGGACTTGGCTGTAGATATTTCACTATCTGTTGGTGTTGCTTGGGCCTAATTGGGGTCTATCTGAAGTTAAGAAGCTGAGGTTGGACTGGATGCATTGTGGGATCTATTTAAAATGTATTTATATGCTGCCTCTCTCCTTAAAAAGGACTTAAGGATGCTTTGCAAATAAAGTTAAAAGCTAAACATTGAATTATTGCAGTATTTAAAGAAAACATTAAACAGATACATTAAAACACGTAAATAGAGATGGATGCGAATCACTGGTGTGGCAGTTCAGTATAGTTGGTTTCACAACTGATCGGCACCCATCCCCTCCAGTGGGTGGCCATTCGTAAGCAGTGCCCAGAGGAGGTGGGTTTGTGCCCGCTGGAGGGGGCAGGGTGCTGATCAGCTACGAAACAAACCACAACAATCTGCCGAACCAGCGATTTGGGCCCGTCTCTACTCATCTAGAAGAGCCATAGTAAAAGCTCAAATAAAACAACAGAATAAA